AAAAGGCTTTGAGGCATTTGAAATATATATTGAAGTTGCTTGAGTACACAGTAGGATATTTGAGGCACCTGGAAACCTAGAGATTCCCCAGAGGGTTTCTCTGGTGTGGCAGTCTGAAGAACTGAAACGCTGCCTCGAGTATCTCTTTATTTTTACAGTGACAGAAAGCATTTTGAGAAGATCAGGACACATGGGATGACTGCAGTTATGCCTGAACGTGATTTGTGTTTCTCGGTGAGCCTTGGATAACTTTGTGATACCGATTTTTAGCTGTAAACTAAACATATAATCAAGAATGCTTGATAGAAGCAGTCTGCAATGAGATTTTTATTTTGTAAACATACATTAATACCTTTCTGTCTCATTACACTTGAGTATCTATAAGCTATTTTCTTTTGGAGAAATATTTTATTCAGTCAAATGGGGAAAGAAAATATCTAAGTGGGAAAAAACAAACGCGTTTTGGCATTTTCCTTCTAGCACTTTATATATGTTTTCAGTGTGGTTAGTTACTCCTGACTCATTGACATCTCAAAACATGTTTACTGTATAACTAATTCTAGTGTCCTTCATCTCAGTCTATTCAGTCTATTTTAGACTAACCCGTATAATTCTACCAATTAGAAATGTACATTCCTGCTTTAAAAAAAGCAGATATCAGTAATCTGAAAAACAATTTGCTTCTGATATTTATGTTTGATTTTGGTTTACACAAGTCATTTCTTGCCATCTCATTTTGCTTGGTGTCTGCTTTGTTTTGCATGTCTGAGTGACATTATTTTATGATAATACCTCTAAAAGTGTGTCATTGTTCAATTTATTCTTTTACTGATTCTAAAATATTGACAGTTCATGCGTATATCATTTTGTGTCATTGTGATGGGTTATTATTTTATTTACCAGTGTCTGGTACGCTGGAACAAGGCCGATTGTTTTTATTGGCAAATCAGAAGGGAGTGTCCAACCAGTATTATAGACAAGTTCTCTGAACATACTGACATACAGTAAATACAAATGCTGAAAATGCTGGGGAAGCTACCCTTTATCTTTTGTAGCAGAAATATTTGTTTGTATCACTTTTCACATTTTATAGCCAATAAATAGCCATCGGCATGTCAAAACCGAAGACCATGTTAAACATTTGATCTGCTTTTTCAAAAATTGGCCGTTTTTGTGGCTCAGGTGGTTCAGTGTTTGTATATTCGGTTATGAAGTGAGCTTGTTTTGAATGTAGAGAAACATTATGTGAGCTATGTATTTCTGGTAATGTCAAGCTCCTGTATGTGTTCTAGCGTCAGACGTGATGTAAAGCTGTCAAACTAGTTTGAGTATTAGGCTGATGTGACGTTAGTTGGCAGATCGTCTTGTTGTTAGCATCAGGATGAATACATTATGAGGGAGCTGTTCTCTGTAATGTCACAAAAATGGCTCATTTGAGCCTGCTATGGTATTCAATGTCAAATTTTTGACCGTTTTCTTTGCTCAGAACCTTGGGTGATTTTTATGCCTACTTTTTAGTAGACTATTATATCCTCTTTTTGGAGAAGTTTTGCTTGAAGGGTGCTCTTGTTTATCTCTGCATAGGGAAGAACTGTGAACAGGAACCGGAAAAAGAGTTTTTTTGTGATTTATCGTCATCTCTGTACAATACTAATTGTTGTTGTTTTTCATAATAGTCCATATTTATGTGAATATTTACTTTTTCACCATAACTCTTTTTAGAAAGTATTTATTTTTGTGTCTCAAGAATTTTCACTATTAGAATCGATGCCTTGATTTAAATTAAAATGCATAATTATGACATACATATATATATATATATATATATTTTTTTTTTTTCTGTCATGTTATCTATTAAAGAAAAAAAAAATGTGTGTAGCCCATGTACTATTGTAACATCATGTTTAGGCCGCACATACATTGTTGAGAGTCATTGTCATAATGCACAGTTATTCAGTTGTACATTCATGTTGTACTTTCACTATTGCAAAAAGATATTATGATTCTCAACTCAACAGCTGAATTTTTAGGGGATTTAATAACTTGCTGGTCAAAACTGGACTTCCTATAATGATTTCATAAATTTTGGGGGAATTTAAGCCATAAAAACAAACATTGCCCCCCCAAAAAAATCAGATTTGTATGATTCTTGGGACCAATTGTAAATTATTTATAGTTCAATTAAGAAATCTAAACATCTGTTTTGGGTGAAATAACGTTAAAAAAAATCTATAAAATGTAATGGGTAAAGTGTGCAAGTGCAATGTCTGTCCTTTGGTAGTCTTTTTCCTTAAAAGTAATAAAAGTCACAGTTCAATATTGAAAATTAGGCTTTGCATATCACAAATTGCTTAATTTATTTGTATACTGAAACACATTTTTCCAATTCATCCCAATCACAAAATCTATACTAAACGATATGCCTCTAAAGTCAATGAATTTTTATATCGGTTGACATTGTAAATATACAGTAATTGGTAGCTGTGCCTTCTGATTTGTAATTAAAAGCAGATCATTTATTGGCAATTGCCTGTTTTGACTGCTCATGAAACCAACGCCCCTTTAAAATGTGTTCCGAGAAAAAGGAACCAAGATGGCATTGTATTATTTCACAATTTGTTTAATATAATATATGCTTCTTTTTAATTTTTGTGCAGCAGACAATATATGCAGTTAGACTGAGTGCAAGAAAAAACTGTTTTTTTTTCGTATTCAGTTGGACTTCTTTAATCCTTCAACAAAAAGGATTAAAGAAGTTTATTAATTGTTGCTTATTAATATATGATAATTCCTAATGCGCCATAATGATGTGCACAGTAGGTATTATGTCAGTCTTACAGCAATATACTTTATTGTGTCAGTTTGCAATAATGTGTTGTCCGATTTGGAAAGTCTCCACTGAATGTGATGATATAAAATGAGCTACTTCTGACATATTTGTACAATTTATTACAAAAATCATGTATTTTGCTTTAGTTGGGACATTTTTACTCTTGCAGCTATTTTTTTTTCTTTTCTGTAAATGTGCTGCTATGTATCAATAAAAATAGGTTAAAGAAAAATAACTCCAGACTTTTTTGTTCTGTTCTATCATGCATTGACCGTTGTTTCTGGAAATGGCTGTGAACATCGGCATAAAAGGAAAACAAAGTCATTTCAAAGTTAAGAGTTAAAAAACGAATGAACTAGTAATAATTACTATAGTAAATCTGCATTGTTTAGTTTGAGCTATTTCCCGTGTTTGCAATGAATGAAGAGAGATCACATAGGCCTTCGTTTTAAAACGTTTAACTATGCATTTTGTATCAATCAAATGCATATTACAAATATTCAGACAATACAGAAGCTGCCTTGTATATTGTGGATAACATATAGACAGGACTGTCGAAGTGAAGTTATTTAAGAATAAAAAATATATGTATAAATAACTTCCTATTTTCATTTAGATAAATGCCAATAATTATATTAAACACTGTTACATTCATATTTAAAACAGTGGGAGGGTTGAATACTGAAATGGTAGAATTGCCAGAACTGATGCAACATGACAGAATATTTCATAAACTGGGTGGAAGTGATGGCCCTAACACACACACACACACCCACATACACATACACAGTCACACACACACAGTCACACATACACACACAGTCACAGTCACACACACACACACACATACACA